TAGTTAAGAATGAGAAAGTGGAGGTAACAATGACATTGAGCACCGAGGCTAAAGAAAGCATTAGTCTCCGGGGGATATGGAGATCATCAGAGATACACGTAGGAAGGTTAATGCATCACTTCAAACACTAGAAAGACCTGGGTTGTGACGGCAGCTGCCATGTAAAGAAGAAGTATAGTCAGTCAGCATCAAGACCCTTTCCCTCTATTGGCATGAAAAGACATGATGACGCCTCAGTCATAGAAGAAAGCTAAAATTAATCAAATTGAGCATTGTACAAAATAAAACTGCACCCAGACTAGTGAACTTAAAATTTCTTCTAATCAATAATCAATACTACACGCAATGTGCTTTGATAGAACGGATGCTAAATTTTTGCCTCCTAAAATAGCATGTTATTAATGGTTTAGGGGAAGGAAGTACAAGCAGTAGTTAATCATGAGAGCTTTACATTTTGAACCAGGATAGTCCCTAGTGTATGATGGCGCAATGCCAGTATGATATGTCTGCTGCAGACATTCACACGCTCTACTGACCGGCTAGTCTACTGGAATGGGAGTTATATTTTCCTCTGAAAATGACCCTAACTTTACAGCAATATTTTGCATTCCTCACTTACAACAGAAGTTCCATTTATAAGCTTCAAGCTGCCAAGTCTGTAGCGTAAAAAGCCCAGCCTAAATACGTTTATATAGTGGAAATAAGACATTATTATTGCATGGCGGTTTCCTCTCCTCTCGCCTTTCAGCTTTTAACAGTATAAGTTTAATTGTCTATGAATTTACCTGCATCAAAACTTTCATCGTCTTTTACGTTGACAGCTTAAACATTGGTTATATGTGGCTCGAATATCTTCTAAAGTATCCAGTTTATCATTCAATTTACTAACTACAAACTGGCAAACATCTTGGCCAGTGAAAGTGAAATGCCTAATGCACGTCTCCAGACAGACCAGACTGAAACCGTCAGAAACTTGAGCTGCCGCTTCACAGCGTAGTGCTAACTCGATTGTTTTCCCAGAATAAACGACAAAACTTTTTCCGGGCTCCTATATTTTCGAACGCAAGGGATCTTGTAAAATCCTTAAATTGAACTAAAATAAGGAAACTTCCGTAC